TTTCTGTGGGTGGCTTCCAAGCACGGTGTGCAGCACTGGGTTAGTCTGAGGAGCCTGTTAGGTGCCTCCAGTGTACGGGTCGTCTGTCAGATACCGCCTTGGACAGACAAAGTGACTTTAACTGTCCAGTTGGTGGCTCTTCTGGGGTCATCTTGGATGTATTATTTATCTGGAGCTTACATAACTCAGCAAAATCCTCTATCCCTGGAAATATTTCAGAGTAAGTGAAACACTGGCTGAGGTAAAAGCAAGTGTCTAACAAAGGCAGCAAACTCTGAATGCTTTATACCGTGGGGGCATCTGATGCCTCCCTCAGCTTCACAGGGCTTTCAGTGAGCAGCTCGAACTCTTTTTTTTTCTTTATTGGTTGAGAATACACTTAAATTATGATTCAGCTCTTACTCTTTCCACCATGAAGTGTTAACTCCTACGTTGTTTGCCTTTAGCCCATCAGCTTCTGAACTACTCCACTATTAGTTTCGATCAGCTCTGCACCTCTGAGCAAATTTATTGCTTCCATTTCTCTTTGAAAGTCTGTCTGTATCTCAGACTCATTTGCTATGGGTTAACCTGTAATGGTTTCCAGCCCTTGCCTCTGCACTCAGTGCAGTCGCCTCACCATGGAACCTCTTTCACACCCTCTTAACAAAGAGCTCTCAGGTCCGTAGGGCTGCAACAACAGCTTGTCCAACAACAGCTTCCTGCGTGGAGAAACAAGCACCTCTGAGCTGCTTCTCTAGACTCCAGCTCAGCCAGTCCTCCTCTTTGTGTTGGTGCAAGCAGCAGTCCAGGCTTCTTGCCCAGATGTTGCTACTCGACCACAAACCAAGCCAGTTTGCTCCAAACTTGCTTTAGTTTTGCTCAAGGCATCTACATGCCTTCTTGCTCGAGGCTGCTAGTCACTCAGCTCTGCAGCAGGGCTGCAGTTCTCTCGGCTCCTTCCCCTCTCCCTGCTGCACTGCTACCTGCGTCTGGTTATTACGGTTTTGGTGTGATAGATGTGGTTTGGTTCCTGCCTTCTGTCAGTGGCTTATCAGCAGGGTGCAAAGGTAAATGTCTTGTGAAGAAAATCCAGATCTTGTTAAGCTGAGTATAAAGAATATTGTTCCTCTGCTCGGCATGTAAATGGAAAACTAAACAGGTGCTCTTGAGCTCTAGGTTTAAATCTGAGACACACACCATGGTGGCTACAGCTGCCCTGAACTGGGAGGTGAATGGAGCGTGAGGCTGTATGGAAGGAAGAGCTGGTGAAGGAAGCTCTGTCTTGCTTTGGAGAGCTGTGCTGCATCACCACCTCTGCTGGAGGGTTCCCTGGTGAACTCAGTCTGGTGGTTTGAAGCAATCTTCTCACCGGTGTGTCCTCCCATGAGGCGCTCTGCGTTTTGGGGGTGTTCAACATGAAACTCGAGGCAATGACTAAAGAAGAGTTAAGTGCTTATTCTGGTGGATGCCTCAGGCTACCTCTTCTGGTTCCCTCAGCGTTCTGACCTGCTGCAGAGGTGATATTGCTGGTTGTGTAGCAAACGCTGAATCACAGCAGTTCAGTCTGGTGTGTTTCTAAAACATTCCAACTGCAGTTGTTCACAAATAGAAAAGCCTGTGTAAAAGAAGAGGCTGATTAACAACTCTCACCCCCGAGTATCTTGGGACAGGCAGCAGCCCATGAGCATGTACTTGGAGTATCTCACGAAGTCCAGAGGTGGAGAGCTGGATATGCTTTTAAAATTAGTTCCTTAATAGGTTTATGCTAACTCATTATATATGTTGCAGTGGTACAGAGAGAGGTAATATTCCTACTGGTATTTTAGGTGCAGTTTGAGGCCACACTTTTTGGGTGATACCAGATTGGTCGTGTGCAGATCTAGGAGCCAAAATCAGAGACCACAAAGATCTGTGTTTTAAAGTGATACAAAGACACAAAGGTTTGAAGGTGCTGCCTGGCTGATAGCAAGCAAGAAGATGGAAGCTGCTAACAGAGTTCAGTGAGCAGTCATGTATTTGTAATAGCTTGATTATCCCCAGTAGAAAGCCATGCCCTCCTAGCTTACAGCTGTGATGATGCTGTCCAGAAATTGGCAGGCAGGAGAAAGAGGCAAGAGACACCCCAAAGCCTCCTGAGTTTGGCGCTGGGGTGAAAGGAGATCAGTGATTTTCTGTGATTCTGAGCTAGAGGGAAATTCCACAGCCCCCACTGCGCGGTGGGTTTTGTGCTGTATTCAGGGGGTAATTACAGCCACGAGTGGTGTGCTTTTTATTTCTAGATGTTGATTTCCTGTGCTAGTGGAGACTACTTAAAAAAAAAAAATCCCAGCCCAAAGCCAAACTGCAAGTGTACATTCCAGTTCTGCACTACCTTCATCTGCGGTGTCAGCAGGGCTTGGGCTGCTCCCATCTGCTGCAGGACCCAGGCACTGCACACTGCAGCACTGCTGTTAGGAGTATCAGTGGTTAGTAATATCAAAATATAGGTATTTTATGTTGCTGAGGGTATTATTTTGCCCTGTTTACCCTGTGTTAGGATTCCATGCAGTCCCTGTAGTGAGGAATTTGTTGTTCATCTTATTGAAATGCTTTGTGATTTTTAAACACCTGTGTCCTGTTTTTCACTAGCATGTAGGCTCTCATAGCAATAGAACTAGCAATAAATATTTAATCTGTGGATCATGAAGTAATTTCATTTGAAAAATAGTATAGCTTACAGGGAGTAAAATGCAGAAGAACGCTTCTGCTAGGATTTCTGTTCAGTGTTTATATGTTTAATCCTGGTGTGTGCCACATGCCACATTCAACTACTGTGCCAGAGAAAATTCATTTTCAGGGGAATGCTTCCCATGGGCAGTATGTGGCCTTTGGTGGGGAAGTAACAGCAGATGTGTGCAGTCAGATCATTTCACCCTCTTTCTACAAAACCACTCGAAAGAAGGAGTGGGAGGGGAAGGTCCCTGTGGAGACAATCTGGTGGAAGAGGATTTAGGTTTGGGGGTTAGTGCCAGGAGGAGCAGTGTCTGACAGCCTGGGTTACAGGACCAAAGCTCTAGTGTAGGGTGAAAACAAAGAGCAGCGAGCAGGGAGCTGTGGTAATGCCACCAGTGAGGTAGTGATGTTCCTACCTGTTGTAGGCTGTTTTGCAGAAATGCTTGAGGTTTTAAGGCTTTATAAGTGAAAGTCTTTAGCTCCAACTAAACTGATTTTAAGTCAATAAGGGACTCTGGGACAAGCTAGTAATAAAATTGATGTTTACAGGAGAGAGAAGGTCTGAACTTTTCATCTGCACAGTTCGAGCTGATTGTAGGATGAGCTCGGATTGATTTAGGCAACTGTAACATACTCAAACAGAGCTGAAGGTTGGACGTAGCCTGCCTGGAAACAGGCTGGCGAGTGGGTCTGCTGCTGTTGTCAGAGTGCAGCTGCATGTCAGTGAGGAGGCTGACTGTGACTGTGAGACCCTCCTTCCTCCCCAGCTTAGCACCTGGGGCTCGAATGGGGTCACCCTTAATAGGCTGAAGGTGTTTTCCTGTTTCTTCATGTCTGTGAGTTCGCAGGCATTTCAGTGTTAAGGCTTTTCTGTGAATTCTTTCTGTATAGTGTGTGTAGATACATGCAGTGGTCATTCAGTATATGCCTGCTATTGCGTAGATAAAATTACCTAGGCCCTAATTATTTTTTTAATGAAGTATTACAAAAACTCAATTTGGTAGAACTTTGTTTCTATCTGGATTTTTCTCTTTCCCAGCTCGTTTGCAGAAAAGGAGATTAGCAGAGGGTTTCTTTCAAGTCTTTTTTGTTTCCCAGGTTTTTATCAGCAGCTTGGCAGGAATACCAGACACCCTCCAGAGTCTGTATCTCCTCCACCTTCACAGCACCTCCCTGGGATGGGGGAGTGTTGCAGGGCCCATCTTGCATGTCCCTGAGAAGATATTTTTAGATTGTTTTAGGCTGTGGTAAGCTGGAAGCTGAACTCTGGCATCCTAAAGCTCAGGCTGGTGTATAAATCATCAGCTTATTTCTTGCCCAAGACATCCTCAAACCCTTACTTATTGTCTTCACAAAAGATTTTAGCTTTTCTGAGGCGAGGAACTGAAGAAAGAAATAAACATCATTGAGTCTGACTAGAAACACTTTTATTTTTTTTCTCAGTTCTTGATTTGGAAATATAGTAAGGAAATATTTACATCAAATAGAGAGCTGAAAAAACAGACCTCATTGTAGTCAACCAACACATCCCAGGTCAGTGTGCTAAAATTCCTGCTTAACCAAAGCAAGGGACAAAGAATTTATATATTTTTTTTAAACCACTCAACTATTTCTTTGAGGAAAAAGGAAAATCCCACCTTCCTTGTTCAGGCAAAACTGCTGCTGAAAATGGTGGAAGTGGGGGCTAGCAGCAGAACAAGGATAGTAAGAGGGAAGCAGTAAGCCTTAGCCCCCAGGACTGTTAAAACCTAACGTGTAAGGCCCTTACATCCATATTTACCTTCTCAGTGCAGCCGTGTGTCACACCAGATGAAGCAGCAAAACTCCTAGGAGCCACGGGGCACCGCACAGAGAGGGTGTGTGAAGTGAGGGCATTTATTTACAAGTCCTTCTGTAGCAAATTCAAACGTTGACTTCATTTTTGAAATAAATATTGCACACCCTTGAGCAAAGGTCCAGCTAATACCCTTATTTCTCATCAGCTTATCACTGATAACCATCAGCATCAGGACTGACCTTTTCCTCTTGCCTGAACTGCAGAGCTCCCTCACTGGGAAGAGAGATGGTGCTCGGCCTTGGGAATTAATCTGAAACCCTCAGATTTTGGAAGGAGCCACGCTTCAGCATGCAGTTCTCAGAAAAAGTGCCTGCTTGCTGTCTGTGTCTCTCTGCTCCATCTCATCTTTTCAGCTTGGCCAGGGTAGAGTCCCTGAGGAGTAGTAGCGTTATAGATAATGTAGGTGATGGGTTTAGATGCTGACAGCTCCCAGAAGATGATCCAGAAGCCAAAAGGTGCAGATGCTTTTTTATACGTGTCGGTTTGGCATGGCAGGTTTCACCTTGGGCTTCCCGTGCACAGGTCTAGAGAGAGAAAAGATTTTAATTCACTTTGACATGAAAGGAACAAGAAGGCAATGAATAGATGGCTGCTGATCAGCTCGTTTAGCCTTGGTCTGCAGGCAGGGACCCCCACGAGCAGGCTGCACGGTGCTCCTAAATCCTCTTCGTGCTAGTGAAGGGTCTGTCAACATTTCCACTAGTGACAGCCAGTAGAAGGACTTAGATGCTCTGCTAATCAATTGTTACACTAATTTAAAAAAAAAACAAAAAAAAAGGCTTTTCTAAATTTACTTCTGAATTCTGCACACTCCTGTCCTCTCATCAAGCCTTTTTCATATTCAGAAATTAATAAAGAAAGAAGAGCTCAGGCTTTTTTTTGGAGTTGGGGAAGTTCTTATGAGTTTATAAGGGCTTTTTCCTGTTGCAAACCAGGTTCCTGCAGAGGAATTTAAAAGGAGGCTTTCTAGACAGCCAGCATGCTCCCCAAATGAGAGAAATTACTGGTCTCCAGCAACTGATAGTTTTATGCTGATTTAATGAGCTGGAAGATTTGGCATCCGTTTTCACTGAAGATTAATTTGTGGTGGAAAATGAATCCTTCAGCTGCCAGCAAGAATCCCAGGCCAGATCCTGAGGCACTCTTTAATTGAGTGAATTGCACTGTTAACTTCCAAAGAGCTTCATTTCAGTAAGCGGGAGCTGCTCAGA